GCGGGTTGAAGTGTGTCAGCAGCGCAGTTCAGTTGAGTAGCGGAGGGCGCGGAATTCCACCCGGCCCCGCCGGGAACAGTTCACGATTTGCCGTACTTGTTTCATTGCATGTCGCGCTTCGCAACAGGAGCATAGTAAGTTCGCAGCGTGGTTACTCAAAGAAAAGAGGCGGAGTGAGGAGCACAACAAAAGATATTGAACAAGTCCTGCTTCACAGATGCTCCAGATGCCACCGCGCAAGCAGATGCTGAAACCCAAACTACAGAACCCTGAGCCCGAGTTCGAACCGCAGGTGGCCCCTGAACCGCACATTGCCGACCAAGATGAACTGCCGATCGTCCGTGAAAGATTGTTGCAGAATCGCGCGCTCTGGGAGCAGCAGCGGCGCATGAGCGACTCGATGCGCTTGGCATCCCAATCGAGGAACATGGGTCGCACAGCCTGGGCCAAGCAATCACCCCAATCCCAGATGGCCTCAACGGGATCATTCGAAGGGGAAACAAGCACATCATCATACACAGCTGCCAGGGGATATATGAAGAATGAAGGTCTGCAGCACTGCGCCCGAGCTGCCGTGAATGTCGCGCGCGAGGTAGCCTTCGCATTCAAGGGGGATTTGGCGACGAATTGCTTATGCTTACATGGTACTTAGTTGTGGGCTAGCCTCCACAAGTTGACGCAGTGACGTTTCGATGTTTCAGTTCTTTCCAGTCGAAGTTGTTAGTTGTTGCATTTGTTTCCGCAGGTGTTGTCAGTTGAGGCCCTGATACTAGTGCATTGGTTTTCAAGTGCGTTGCAGGCTGAACCGGAATCCTTACCGCGGGGCGCATTTGGCGCGTCGTCAACTGTTAGCGGCCTAACCAATGGTGCGACAGGAACTGCTGGGTATTCAGTTCATGACAGGGGAACTTGGGATGGAATATGTTTCGGTTGAGTCGTTTTGGGGCAATACCTCTTGGGTGGAGTCGCCCTGGGTTGAGTCTTTTGGTGCCATCGCCTCTTGGAGGGCCTCTGTGTGGACTCGTATTGGGCGGTGTCCTGGCGAGGTGCTTTCGGGCGAAATCTGTTCGAGCCCTTCGCCCCAAGATTGCCCCCGAGACCGACAGCAGGCCTCCGCCCAAAGCAGGCCCCAGCGTGAACCGAAGCCATGCAAAAATTATCCCAGCGCGACCCTACCTAAGAGTTGGAGCCCTTAGGAAAGCAGCATTCGTAGTAACAGTAAAGCTAAGCTAAAGCTAAGCTAAAACTAAGCTAAAGCTAAGGTAAAGCAAAGCTAAATCTAAGCTAAATTTAAACTGAAGCTACACTAAAGCTGAGCTAAAGCTGAGGTAAAGCTAAGGTAAAGCCAAGCTAAAACTAAAGCTAAGCTAAAGCTAAGCTAAAGCTAAGCTAAAGCTACGCTGAAGCTACGCGAAAGCTAAGCTGAAGCTAAGCTAAAGCTAAGCTAAAGCAAAGTTAAAAGCTAAACTACAGCTAAGCTAAAGCTAAGCTAAAGCTAAGCTAAAGCTGCGCTAAAACTAAGCTAAAGCTAAGGTAAAGCTACGACAAGGCTGAGCTAAGCTAAGCTAAAGCTAAGCTAAAGCTAAGTTAAAGCTACGCTAAAGCTACGCTAAAGCTACGCTAAAGCTAAGCTGGAGCTAAGCTACAGCTAAGCTAAAGCAAAGTTAAAGCTGAGCTACGGCTAAGCTAAAGCTAATATAAAGTTAAGTTCAAGCTAAGCTAAAGCTGCGCTAAAGCTAAGCTAAAGCTAAGGTAGAGCTAAGATAAGGCTGAGCTAAAGCTAAGCTAAAGCTAAGCTAAAGCTAAACTAAAGCTAAGCTAAAGCTAAGCTGAAGCTAGACGCTAAAACTAAGCTAAAGCTAAGCTGAAGCTAAGGCTCCCAGGGAACTGGGGAAACCGCGGGGCGGATACCGGGGGAACCGCCTGGGGCGGCTTCCACTGCCCGGCCCCTTTAAGAAAGAGAGTAAGAACCCTCTAGGCAGAGCCTAGGTAGGGAATACACGTGAGCTGAGATGAAGCTAAGCTAAGCTAAGCTAAGATGAAATCAGCTAAGCTAAGATGAGATAAGCAGCGCTAAGCTAAGAGGACGTAACTGGGGGGACCGCGGGGCGGATGCCGGGGGAACCGCCCGGGGCGATTTCCACTGCCCGGCCCCTTGAAAAAAAAAGAGAGTAAGAACCCTCCAGGCAGAGCCTAGGTAGGGAACAAGTTCCCTTCGGTCACCCCACCGACAACCCAAGCGCAGCGTAGGCCTCTAGGCTCAACCCGCTCGGGGCCCTAAGTCGTGACTCGGCAGTGACACTCCCATTCCACCCGGCGCGCTGCTTGGACTGCTCACTCGCCATGGCATGGCGGTTACTAGGACCGTTGCCACATGATTGACTCAATCATGATCTCGAGCTTGCGTTGCAGAGGCGTTTCGTCTACCATGATGAGCGAATTCGTCCGAGACAGTGGCAGTGCAGAGGAATCGTCGCCCCTCGGCGTGGCTCATCAAACCATGTGACTTCTATCGCACTCGGAGCCCCAATCCTGAAATTTACATTCTTATGTTTTGTTGATGCATGCGCGTCCCAGGGTTATGGCTACAGACTTCGATCAACCACGACGAGGCCAATGACTAGATTGACGCTTTCTGAGAATGCAGCGCGTTGGGTTCGCAGCGCCGAGTGGCAGTGGCATGGCGATGCCCATGGTTGGTTTCACATGCTGTAGTTGCCTCGGGCAGTGAGTGCATTTGCGAATCGAGCCTTATCGAAGCTGGTTCCCCTCAGTCTTGCCCCCTGGTCTCTTGCCCCTGTTGGGGGATTGTGGACTGCGATGCCCCAGTCCCATCCCCTGAGGTTGCAGTCTATGCTTCTGCATTATATGATCGCCGCCGAATTCAAATAGTTAACACTATCACGATCCACGGGGCGGTGTTCACAATATGGTTTCTACACTTTGGCTTCCAATCCCAGAACCAGCTGATCATGTGGATCGGCATCGTCGTGGGCCTGGTCAGGTTTGGGTATTCTTGGCATGCATGTCCAATTCCCCCCCCCCCTGAGCCTTCCCATTCCCTCTCTCCGCGCTCACTTGCGAGTCGCGCGATTGATTTTTGAAGCGCTTGAATTTGTTGGCATGTTCCCATGTCAGGTGCAGTCTGTCTCTGCGGCCTAAACCTACATCGTGACATATAGGGGCCACTGGCTGGGGCGCGCCTGTGGCGATTATCCCAATGGCGCCTTCGCAGTGGATGGCCCCCAGCCAGAGCGCCTCCGTCGATGGAACGAAACAAGGGGAGGTATCGCCTGCTTTGCGTAATTTTCTTCGCCTTCCAGCTGTGCAGTTGCTCCTGCGTCTTCCACGCCGTCCAACCCTCAGTCAATTAGAGGCCATCTGTCAAGTTCCCCCCCATGGGACTCCCCCCGTCGATTCCAGACCTTTCGCCCCCTGAATTGCGTGGTCGAATCTTCATGTTTGGAAATTGCTGGAGGTGAAATTGTCCTGCAGGGTCTGCGGTGAAATCGTATTATGTGGAGTCGGTCTTGTAGGAACCAGCTTGGGGTGGGGGTCGTGAGGTAGGTGTCGGGCTGGGCGCATTGAGTGGTGTCTTGGTGAGAGGCGTCTTGGCAGAGCCATCTTCAGGTCAGTATTGTTGGGAATCGTCTTGGAGGGAGTCGTTTGGGTGGGAGTCGTCTTGGTGGGATTCGTCTTCGGGGAGTCGTCTAGGGAGCCAGCATGGGCACCTCACAGTTAGTCCTTGCACGGTGAAGGGAAACCCTGCGTTGTGTAAGCCATGTGATGTGAGCTTTGTGGTGCTAGCTATGTAATGTGACCTAAGTGGTGTGAACTATGTTGGGCGCGGTGTATTGCGCCATATCTTTGCTGCGGGATATGGTGTGTGATACGTGGTGTACGTTATGTGGAGTAATTTACGCAGTGGGAGTGATATGGAATGTAGTGTAGATTGTAAGCCATGTTGTGTAGGGTGCGGCGTGAAGCACGCGTGGTGCAATAGGTTTGTGGTGCCACCAATGTTATGCAACATGCGTTGTTGTTGTGAGCTATGAGGCGAGCGCTAGGCATTATATGCTATATGGTATAGGCATTATGTGCGAGTGATGTGGTGGGAATTGTCGTGTGTGAGCTATGTGGTGTGAGCTGTGTTGTGTAAGCTCTGGGGTGCGAGCTCTGCTGTGCAATCTATTTCGTGTGAGCCATGCTATGAAAACGCCTGGGGCGCCTGCGACCTGGCACTGGTACCAGCGCGGTAAATCGCCAGCTGGATCCCCCCGAGGTATGGCGTGCACACGAAGCGCCCATGAGGTGGTCAGGGGCACCAGCAAGGTGAAATCTCGGTTGGCCGGCCCCGGGCATGGGCTGCCCATCACTTAAGTGGAACATCCATGGCTGACCTGTTCAATGTTTGGAGCAGTGTTTGAATGTTTGGGGACAGAGTGCACTTCCTACGCCCGTTTTCTTCTGTTCGTGCGTGCGCGCGTGTGTGTGTGTGTGTGAGTGTGTGTGTGTGTGAGAGAGGGTCTGTGTGTATGTACGTGTGTGCGTGTGTGCGTGTGTGTGTGTGTGCGTGTGTGCGCGCGCGTGTGTGTGTGCGCGCGCGTGTGTGTGTGTGTGTGCGTGTGCGTGTGCGTGTGCGTGTGCGTATGTGTGTGTGTGTGTGTCGGTGTGTGTGTGTGAGTGTGTGTGTGTGTGTGTGCGGGGGGGGGGTCTGTGCGTCTGTGCGTGTGTGTGCGTGTGTGTGTGTGTCTTTGTGTGCGTGTGTTTGTGTGTGTGTTGCTCCCTCTGGGGCCTCTGGAAGCCCACATGCGGCAGGGGCCGAGGGGCGGGGACGAGGCGCGGGGACCAGGGGGGAAGGCGGGCAGACGGCTGCGGGACGCGGGGGGGCAGAGGAAGGTTCGTGGATGGGGGCGGGGGCGAGGCAGGGGGGACCGGGAGGAGCCGGGCCACGGGCAGGGGCGAGGGGAGGGAGCGGGGGAGGGGAGGGGCGAGGGGAGGCAGAGTTGACCATCCAGAACGTCGGGGACACCTCCATTGCCTGGTCCATGGACGTTCCCGAGAAGCCCTGGATCTCCGTCCGCGGGAGCCCGAGCGGCACCCTGGGCCCTCGTCAGATCGACGGCAGCACGGCGGTGCCCGCCGAGGTCAGCGTCTTGATCGAGGCGGACGTCTCGGGCAAGGCAGGCGGCTGGGAGGACGTGTGTTCCTTGGTTATTCAGTGGCGCCGCGATGGGAATGGGTCGTTCGACACGCAGCGCGTTGAGGTGATGGCCAGGGTGCTAGAAGAGTTGATCCTGTCTGGGCTGTCTATGAGCCCAGCGATAGAGCTCAGTCCTCCATTCAGCCCATCAGTGCAGACATATTCGGCGTCCCTGCCATTCCGCATCACAGAGGTGCAGGTGCGGCCGAGTTTCTCCCCGCCCGCCGAGAATGTCACAGTGCAGGACGAGCCGGTGACAAGCGGCGGACTGTCGGGCGCGGTGGCTCTGGAGCCGGGGGGAGAGGTGCAGGTGCGCATCGTCGTGATGGCCGCAGGCGCCGACAGCATCACGTACTCGCTGAGGCTCACCAGGGCAGAAGAGGAGCCGCCGCCGCCCCTGGCACTGAGCCGCGTGGTGGCAGAGGACTCGGCCATCAGAGTGTGGTTCGAGCCGCACGGCGGCCACGGATTCTACAACATAACCGGCTACCGCGTGGTCGTTGCCGGCGGGTCCTTCGGCCCGCGAGAGGACACCGTCGCGTGCGTGCCGGCGCCGTGCTGGTCGCAGGCCCTGGCCTCCGAGGCGCCGGGCCTCGACTGCTGTGAGCACCAGGTGGGCGGCCTGCCGAACGGCGTCCCCCACGTCGTCAGCGTCTCGGCCGTGAGCCAGTACGGGGACAGCCAGTCTTCGATTCCTGCAATGTGCCAGGACAGCGAGTGCTGGCCGTGGCAGCCAGTGACGCCTCGGGCAGTGGCGGAGCTGCCGTCGGTCTCGCGGGCGCCGCAGGTCACCGTGGTCGGCAGAGGCGTAGTGAAGCTCGACATTCGGCAGGACTCGGTCCAGTCTGGAGACGCGGTGCCGCTCCTCTTCACGTGCTACGCGTATGAGGCAGCAGTGCCGCTGGCGTCGCCGTCTTCGTCAGGCAGCAATGCCAATGGCGTCGGCATCTTCGTGGACGGCTTGGACCCTGCCAAGGGGTACCTGTTTCGCTGCGAGGTCGCCACCGCCCGCCTCGTGCCGGGCGCCGGGGCACTCACCAGCATGAGCCCAGAGTCCCCCGTGGTCTTCCCCGAGCTCTCGGGGTCCGCGCACCTCGTGGACTTCGAGCTGGAGCTGCAGGTCGACGACAGTTTGCACGACTTCCTGCTTCTTTTGCTGTCCGACGACAGCGTGCGTGGAGCCATCGCGGAGGCCCTGTCGCAAGGGGTCGGAGCGCCAGTTGCTATCGTGGATTGCGAGCTGCTAGCAGAGGAAGCCAGCGACATGCGCCTGGCCTCTCTGACCCTCATCTTGCGGATCACGGCGCAGGCTGGTGGACCGTCGGAGTTGGCACAACTCATTGTCTACCTCATGGGGGCTGATGCCTCTGACGTGACAACCTTGATCAGTGAGGCCTTGGGCGCAGATGTTGTCGTGACTTCTCTGGTGGTCCTAGCCACCGCCACAGTCACCTCTACAACACCCAGTCCGACGGCCAGCCCCACGGCCACGGCCACGGCCACGGCCACGGCCACGGCCACAGCCACGGTCACGACCACGACCACGGCCACGACCACGACCACGACCACGGCCACGGCCACGGCCACGGCCACGGCCACGGCCACGGCCACGACCACGGCCACGGCCACGACCACGACCACGGCCACGGCCACCACGGCCACAGCCACGGCCACGGCCGCGGCCACGACCACGGCCACGGCCACGACCACCACGCACACGGCCACCACGGCCACGGCCACCACGGCCACGACCACCACGGTCACGGCCACGGCCGCCACGGCCACGGCCACTACGCCCACGGCCACCACGCACACGGCCACCACGGCCACGGCCACCACGGCCACGGCCACCACGGCCACAGCCACGGTCACGGCCACGGCCACGGCCGCGACCGCGACCACGACCACGACCACGGCCACGGCCACGGCCACGTCCACGGCCACGGCCACGGCCACGTCTACGGCCACGGCCACGGCCACGGCCACGGGCACCAGCACGACTATGACTACTACCTCAGGCGTAGTGCCATACCGACCAGAAATCGTGCATGCTGGGGTGTCAGGCGATGGAGAGATATCCAGCTGCCTGCGGCAAGCCCCGTCACCGTGCCAGCCAACAACCTCAGGAGCGCACAGGAAGCATTCACGTGTGGCACCTCGTGCCCCAAGGCTTGGGAGAGCCGTGACATGTGACAAGCTCGTCCGCGCCGTGCCGGTGTGCCTGTGCTCGTCCTCGGCGTCGGCCTGGCCCAGTTCTAATGTTCTTTTCTCTGCACGTTCCTCCTCCCCCACACTCTCACAGCTTCTCCTACGTTTTCCTGCGACGGTTGCAGCAATGCTTAGATGTTCGCCATATTTGACCCACTGGCCACTATGAAGCTGTCGTGGGCTGCTGCGAGGCCGCGCACAGGCGAAGTAAGCGGATCAGGGAACTTAGGATGACCATGATGGGGAACATATGAATGAGGCGTAGGCTGATGACGATGAGAGGAAGATGGTGAGAAAGATGTTGACCGCGGTGGACGGAGGGGCGGGGCAAGATGATGATTTCGCTGTTGCTACTGGTGACCATGTTGATGATGCTTATGTTGATGATGATGATGGTGATGATGATGATGATGGTGGTGGCGGTGGCGGTGGTGGTGGTGACGATGATAATAATGATGATGATGATGATAATGATGATGATTATGATGATGATGACGGTGGTGATGATGCTGATGGGTGGTGACGTGATGTTGGTGATGCGGATGAGGATGATGCTGATGATGATGATGATGATGATGATGAGCATGTTGGCGTTGATGCGGATGATGTTGTTGATGATGACGATGTTGATGACGATGTCGATGGCCATGTAGATGTCGATGACGATGCCGATGCCGATGCTGACGATGATGACGATGATTATGCTGATGCGGGTAGTTATGACGCTGATGTTGAGGATGTTGATGTGATGATGCTGATGATGTGTACTATGATGTTGATGGTTGATGTTGGCGACGATGCTGATGCTGATGGTTGTGGTGATGATGACGACGCTGATGACGACGATGATGATTATGATTGTGTTGATGGTAATGGTGCAACTGTCGATGTTGATGATGCTGATGCTGATGCTGATGCTGTTGCTGATGCTGACGGTGGTGATGATGAACCTGCCGATGATGATGACGATGTTGATTATGATGATGATGATGATGATGATGATGATGATGGTGGTGATGATGTTGATGATGACGATGATGACGGTGATGATGTTGCTGATGATGGTGCTTATGATGATGATGATGATGATGATGATGATGATGATGATGATGATGATGGCGACGGTGATGATGACTAATATGTAAATGATGCTGATGTTGATGATGGTGGTGAAGATGCTGCTGCTGAGGATGATGATAATGCTACTGCTGCGGCTGCTAATGATGATGATGCTGCTGATACTGATGATGATGATCATGCTGCTGATGATGATGGTGATGATGCTGATGATTGTGTTGATGTTGATTTTGATGATGCTGATGCTGATGCTGAATATGATGATGATGATGATGATGATGATGATAATGCTGATGCTGATGCTGATGCTCATGATGATGATGATGATGATGATGATGATGATGATGATGATGATGATGATGATGATGATGATGTCGATGCTAAGACTGATGATGATGACGACGACGATGCTGATGATGCTGATGCCTATGGTGATGCTGATGACGAGGAGGAGGACGAGGAGGAGGAGGAGACGGACGAGGAGGAGGAGGAGGAGGTTGAGGATGATCATGAGGATCATGAGAAGAAAGAGGATGAGGAGGAGGAAAAGGAGGAGGAGGAATAGCATGAGCAGGCGGAGGAGGAGGAGGCGAAAGAGAAAGGCCATGACATGTGACATCTTCCGTCTTCACTTCTGGAGAAGCTCTCCTGGGGCTTGTTTAGGTTGTCTTGGGGCTGTGTTGGGCTCCTGTGGGGTAGTCTTGGGGGTCACTTGGGACCCTCTTGGGCAGCCTTACGGCCCTCTTGGGCCGACGTGGGGCCCTCTTGGCCGTCCGAGGGGGTCTCTTGGGACCGTCTTGTTGCCGTCTTGGGCCGGCAAGGGTCCCTCTCGGGCCGTCTTGGATCCCTCCAGGGGCCCTCTGAGGCTGGCCTGGGGCTCGCTTGGGGCCGTCCAGGGACCATCTTGGGAGTATCATTGGGACCTTTTGGGTACTCGTAAACCGCAAGTGCACTGGCCTTCGACCGCAGAGCGTGGACAGTGAAACATGCAAGTCAACAGAAAGCAATTGTTTTTGGCCTCTCGAGAGCCTCTTGGAAAGCGTCTCAGAAGTGTCTCGGGGCACCTTGGAGTCCTGTTGGACGTATTCGGGGCTTCTTGAGAGCTGCTGGGTGCGTCTTACAGCTTGCTTGACCATAGAGGGCCATCGTGGCTGTTTTTGTGGCCTTCCCTGGCCATCTAGACAGACTCAGAGGGCTTTGGACATCGCCAAGAATGGGTCAGGCTGCCCAGGAAGCCTCGAATATGGAGGCTATGCATGCGGCGAGCTGTGGTGCGGGGGGGGGGGCTCTGGAAGATGACAGAAACCCGACCAGACAGCAGTTGGCAAGTACAGCGCGGCCACATCGTGCAGGCACGGTGGCGGATCAGTGGAAGTCAGTCTTGTGACCGCTGACGGCGATGTGCCTGTAGAACTGTTGGAATGCGACGCCGATGGGCTCGTCGCCAGCCTCTCTTCGCCCAACGCTTCGGCGGTGAATTCCGTGGTGTTCACCGAGCTCGCCGTGGGCAGCACCATCGGCAACATCCGGTGCACCGCCAGCAACGCCGCGGGCACGTCCGAGCCGAGCATGGCCTGGCCCACCGCCCTGACGGTGGTGGGCCTCCCCGGCCTGGAGTTCGCGTGCCTGAGGCCTAGCTCCGCGCAGGTCGAGCTGGGCATCGAGCTGCCGACCGGCCCAGCCTACGACGAGGTGGTCAACCTGAGCTGCGGCCCCGCCTCCGGCGGCGCCCAGGCCCCAGCGCAGGCCACAGGCGGGGGCGCCTGGCACGCGACGGTGGGCGGCTGCCTGCCCAACCTGCAGGCCTTCCAGGTGCCAGGAGGGGAAAGAACACACAGACACAATTCATCGTCGAGCCCCCAGAAAATATGGGAAGCTATGGGAAGTGTGGGGGAACAAAAATTCAGAACATATGGGAACATATGGCGAATCCTGTTATTTGTGTGCGTATTTATGTGTGTGTCCCAGGGCCCCTTCCAGGTGTCCTGCGAGCTGCAGACCCTGCACGGGCTGCGGGCGAGCGCGGCCCAGGAGGTGACCTGCGGCCTGCCCCTGCTCTGCACCTACGCGCTGGAGGGCGGGCCGGGGCCTGCGGGGCCCGCTGCGGAGGAGAGCCTGCGGCAGCTGGTGGCCGCGGAGCTGCGGACGCCCCCGCTCTACGTCTAGGGGGCCACTTGCGAACCCTACCCCTACCCCCCAACGATTTCTGAGGGGGAGGGGGGGGGTCACTTCGTGCGGGAGCTCCCGAGCGAAGTGAACCCCACCCTCCCCCTCAGAAATCGTGGTGGGTAGGGGTAGGGTTCGCAAGTGGCCCCCTGACGTCCGCGCCAGCCTGGCGCCGCTTGGCGAGCCCTTCCGCAGCTGCGCCGGCAGCAGCACCGCGACCGGCGGCCTCAGGAGTGCCGGCCGGGCGCGCGCAAGAGCGGCCCCTCTCTCCAGAGTGACCGTTGGTGCGAGCCCCCATCGGGGCTCCTAAAACGACGCGAAGATCGGGACAAAATCGGATCGGGATAACTCGAAATTTCTGAGGATCGGCGGGTTTGGAGGATGTATTGGGCGCCGCGGCCGCTCCAGAGCGTCCCGGAACGCTCTGAGAGCGCTCCGGAACGCTCTGGAGCGATTTATCCCGATCCTAGCCCTGTTTTACCGTTGGTGCGAGCCCCCATCGGGGTTCCCCCCACGGCCCGCGAAAGCCTCGCTGTGGCACCAAGGGTCACTCCTGCCTGCCCAGGGTCACTCTTGCGCGTTGCCGAAGGAGGCTGAGTGGGTTTGCGGCCGCCGGAGCCCAGCTTCTCGTGGAGGTGCTGGTCGAGGATGAGTCGGACTCCAACATTCCGGCGCACTTCGACGGCCTCCGCAGGCTCGCAGCCGACGGCGTGCTGGCATCGAGCACGTCCGCGACAGTCAGCATCATCAATGGGCCGCTGGTTTCGCACCCGCTCTTCTTCGACTCTTCCCTGGAATCGCTCGCCGTGGATCCGGGCATTCTGTCCCCCGAGTTCGACCCGACTGTCTTGCGCTACTCCGCCAACGCGACGGATCTCAGGTACAGGATCAAGGCGAAGGCCAGTAGCAACTTGTCCTCCTGGGCCTTTGTGGGCGGCCACGAGGAGAACACGATCACCGCAGTGGCGCCGGCCTCGCAACTGATCACCGTGACTGTGACGGCTGGGGACTTCTCGACGACCTCCTATGAGGTGGAGGTATTCTTCCAGCCCCTCGGCTGCGATGGCCACTGTGACCGCGGCACTTGCGACCAGCTGACCGGCAGCTGCAGCTGCTTGGAGGGCTGGTGCTCAGCACCGTCTTCGACTACACGTAAGAGTGACCTTTTGCCGGAGTGGCCTTTGGTGCGGGCCCATTGGGGTCCCTGGATCGGCGAATGCGAGGCGACAGTTGCGCCTTGCGCGCTTGGGTTTGGCCTCTCCCGCGGCTCCCCGAAAGCCGCGCACCGAAGGTCACTCTTGCCCAGGGTCACTCTTGTGTGTAGCCGACGTCTGACCTATCCCCATCCCCACTGGGCCCCTGTAACTCAGCCCCACCAGCCAACCCTCCCAGGCAGGGGCACGCTCCGCGAGACCTGAAGGAACAGGCATGGATCCCCACCTAGATGGGTGGTAAGTCGGCCCGTGGGGCCATGGCCACGCCAGCGGGGATAGGGATCCTTCGAACGATGCTCATCGGCGGCGAGCGAGGGGGGGAAATGAGAACGAGAAGGCCTTCTCAGCAGGCGGCGGGACTTCTCAGAAGCCCTCGCGCCTTCTGAGAAGTTTCCTGTCTTCTGGGAAGGCCTTTTGCTTCTCACTTGCCCTCCTCGCTCGCTGCCGAGCTCAGGTACGGCGCGAGCTGCGCCAGTTATTGCCCTGGGGTGCCCGCCTGCAGCGGCCGCGGCGCGTGCAGCAATGGCACCGGGCGCTGCGAGTGCGACAGCACGTACGGCGGAGACGACTGCACCACGCGGGTGTGCCCGGCGTGCCTCAACAACGGCACGGGGTGATGCATAAGCTCGGGGGAGAAGCAGACATGCCGGTGCCGATGCCCTGCCCTCGCGTTTGCTTCTGAGGACCCCGTCGTGGTGGTGGTGGCGCCTCGGTGCCTCCACCTGGTGCCCCAGGAGGGTGCCTGGCAGGACGTTGCTTCGTCTGCGGGCCGTGGGCTCGTTGCTGGCGTCGCCAGCTTCCCCGCCCTCCCTCCCTGGTGGGTCTGGTGCGTCGGCCAGCGGGGTCTCGAGATTTCTGCGAGGGTCTCTCGGGCGCCCCAGGCTGGCCGCACCGAGTGCGTTGCCCAGTGGTCCGCGCGGGCGCACTGGACCACCCAGCGGGGAGGCAGCCCACTCGTATCTTCGCGAGGGCCATCGAAGAGCAGTTTGGATCCGCTTGTGAAGAAATGCGCGCACGAATCCGAAAAACTGCACGAGGAATATATGTGCGTCCAAGCGATGGCAGGCGCTGTTCGCCACAGACTTTCTCTCGATGCCGCCCCCTGGCTCCACAGCGTGGGAGTGGTCCTGGATCGGGGGAGGGGTCCTGCTTTCTGGTGCCGCTTTTTGTCGAGGCGTCCTCGCGGCCGGGGCTCGAAGATGCCCAGATATTCTCTCTCGATTCCGCCCCCTGGTTTTAAGTCAGGCATGTCCCTCTACAACAATAAGAAACATAATATGGAGACGAATTTTCAACTATCGTTGATTATTTTTGAACACCATTTTTAATTTGTGTCCGAAATCCGCCTGTAGGGGGACATGACCAACCTAACCCTGGTTCCACAGTGTGGGGGGGGCCCTGGGTGGGGGGAGGGGCCTGCTTTCTGGTGCCCCTTTTGGGCGAGGCGTCCTCGCAGCCGGGCTCCGAAGCCCCTTCTTGGCCCAGCCCCAGGGGCGAGGGGGACCAGGTACAGCCAGACCGAGGTATAAGATCGAGGTCGGTTCGGGGAGGGTGCCTCAGCTGGGTGTTCTTGTGCAGCCTGGGGGGGGTACCCTTGGATGTTCTGTCTGTTCTGGCCGACAGAGGGTCTCATGTTCTCGAGGGGTTTTCTTTTGGCCCAGGTACGATCGGGCCGGACGAAAGGGGGGGATTGGGAAAGGGAGGGTTACGGAATTTGCTGCATGCAGCTGGTTTCGGCTTCACCGAGGGGCCCATTCCTCGATCCATAGCCGCCTCCGGCGCCGGGAGGCGCCGGGAAAATCAGCTACGTGAGCTGATTCTCAACCCCCCCCTTTGCTATCCCCCCCTTTCGCCTGGCCCAGGTGCGACTGTGGGTGGGGTCGCTTGCTGCGCCCAGGCTCGGCACCCTTTGGCTCCCCGCCCCGCCTCTACCGGGCCACCCCTGGGCCATTGCCGCTCCCTCCCCACTGCTTATTCAACTCTCAGGAGGGGAAACACACACACAACGAATCGTCGATCCCCAGGGGAGTATGGGGAACTATGGGAAGTGGGGGGGAGACGAAAGTCCAGAAAGTAGGAGAAGATTTGTGTCTATTTATATTTGTGTGTGTCCCAGGGCCCCTTCACAAGCTTCCTCAACCCAACCAGAGGGTCCCGGACCCCCCCCACAACTTCGGGTTGGGGGGGTCGTGCGGGCTCCCCCGCTTCTGCCCCTTTCCCTGTGTGCTGGGAGGCCCCCCCCCCTCCGGCTGGAGGTGAACGGGCCCAGCGGCGGCTTCGGGTTGGGCTTGGGGGGTTTCTGGTGGGCCTCACCTCCCTCCTCCTCCTCCTCCTCCTCCTCCGCCTCCATTTCTTATACATCATTTCTTGTAAATAACTACTCCCTGTCGCACCCGGAGGCCAGTTTTTAGGGCGGGCATGGCGTTTCGTTTGAGATTTCTTCACCGGTTACGATCGCGAAGCTTGCAACTTGGCAACGGCTTCAAAGATGGAGGGCGGGTCGTAAACAAAAATGTGGCTCTCGCCCTGGCGCCGCGCACATTCGTTCTAACGAATTGCAAGAGCTTCACGGATTGAGGGCGGGTCGTTCTAAAAATGTGGCTCTTGCCTCAGCGACGCGCACACTCAATTTACACATTTGCAAGAGCTGCAGGGGTTGAAGGCGGGTCGTTTTAAACATGTGGCTCTCACCTCAGCGCCGCGCGCATTCGTTGGAAAGGTTTGCAAGAGTTTCACGGATTGAAGGGAGCCCGTTTTCAAAATGTGGCTCCCGCCGTAGCGCCGCGCACATTCTTTTTCACGATTTGCAAGAGTTTCACGGCTTGAGGGCGGTTCCTTTCAAAATGTGGCTCTCGCCCTGGTGCCGCGCACATTCGTTTTAAAAAGCAAGGGCTTCACGGATTGAGGGCAGTTCTTTTTCAAAATGTGGTTCGCGCCTTCGAGCAGCGCACACTCGCTTGATTCCCAGATCAAAGTACCAGAACTTGACTTGTGGAGCGATCCATGGTTATGATGGTGCGACAGTTACGTTCGTTCGCGGTGTTGCAGTCCCAATTTTGGCGTTCTGGCACGATTCAGGATCGTCAAATCGCAACAGTCAGGTTGATCCGTGGCGTTGTCTTCCAACGAGGCAGTTCCTTCAACGGAAACGAACCGCTGTAGGGGCCTGCGAAGAAGGAGCTTGGAAGGATGGCTTATTCCAACATCGTTGACGACTCTTGGGTTTACACTGGTCCTCCTCCTCCTCCTCCTCCTCCTCCTCCTTCCCCCTTCCTCCTCCTCCTCCTCCTTCCCCCTTCCTCCTCAGCCCCCCCCCCCCCCCTAGACCCCCCCCACAAGTTCGGGTTGGGGGGGGCGTGCGGGTTCCCCTGTTCTTGCTCCTCCCTGCGCAGGCAGGCCCCCCCCCCCTCCCGCTGGGAGTGGACAGGCCCAGCGGCGCCTTCGGGTTGGGCTTTGGGGGGGCCTCCCGGCGGGCCCTCGCCTCCCGCCCTCTCCTCCTGCAGCAGGGGGCACGAAGAGCGACGTGAGCAGAACCACTCGGAGGCCCGCGCGGAGCTCTCGGAGCGGCGCTGGAGCCCCCTCCCCCCTCCCTGGCGCGCGGAGCGCGCCGGGGGCGGCGCCGGAGGCGCCGCCCGGGGGGGTCCAGCGCCGATCCGAGAAGTCCGCGCGGACCTCCGAGTCGTTATGTTTACGTCGTTCTTCATTCCCCTGCACTCCAGGCGATGCTTAAGAAAACCCAAGTTTTCGGCCAGAGTCTCGATTATTCTGAATGTTCCAATGTGAATCCCAAGATCTTAATTGAACTTTTGGGTTTTTATTCAACTTCTGAGACTATGAATTTCTCAACCCATGATTTCTGAAGCATTTCGCAGGGTGTACGGCAGGGCCGCACGAGCGGCTGCTCGCCCGTGCTGGCCCCCAGGCGTGTGCCTCGAGGGCCTGCAGGCGCCCGATGCCGACTGGGGGTGCGGCTGCCCCGAGTCGCACGCGGGGGAGCTCTGCGAGCGGTGGAGGTGCCGCGCATGCCTTGGGGAGGTACAATTAAGTCGGGCCTGTCCCATTACAGGGGGATTTGCGACGAAAAATAAGAAATTCCCTACAAATAATCGAACAATAGTCCAACAATAGTCTGGGGACTATTTTTCCCAACCATCCTGTGGTGTTGGGTCCTCGTTTTGAAGACGGCGCCCCGCGTTCACTCCTCCTTCTCCTCCTCCTCCTCCCCCTCCTCTCCCCTCCTCCCCCTCTTCCCTGCGTTTCACCCACCCAGTACAGCGCTTCGTAGCCCCATAGGAGCTCCACCGAAGGCCCCAGTACCCGCGCCCGCATGCGTCACCCACACCCAATTCGGCACACCCCTCACACGTTTCGTGGCTCCATAGGGAGCTCCACCGAAGGCCCCAGTGCCCGCGCCCGCATGCGTCACCCACACCCATTTCGGCACACCCCTCACACGTTTCGTGGCTCCATAGGGAGCTCCACCGAAGGCCCCAGTGCCCGCGCCCGCATGCGTCACCCACACCCATTTCGGCACACCCCTCACACGTTTCGTGGCTCCATAGGGAGCTCCACCGAAGGCCCCAGTGCCCGCGCCCGCATGCGTCACCCACACCCATTTCGGCACACCCCTCACACGTTTCGTGGCTCCATAGGGAGCTCCGCCGAAGGCCCCAGTGCCCGCGCCCGCATGCGTCACCCACCCACGGCACACCCCTCACACAACGTTTCGTGGCACCACTCCCTGCCCCGCCCGCATGCACAACCCCTTTCGGCACACCCCTTCACACGTTTCGTGGCTCCATAGGGAGCTCCACCGAAGGCACCCAGTGCCCGCGCCCGCATGCGTCACCACACCCATTTCGGCACACCCCTCACCCGTTTCGTGGCATAGGGAGCTCCACCGAAGGCCCCAGTGCCCGCGCCCGCACGTCACCCACACCCATTTCGGCACACCCCTCACACGTTCGTGGCTCCATAGGGAGCTCCACCGAAGGCCCCAGTGCCCGCGGCCGCATGCGTCACCCACACCCATTTCGGCACACCCCTCACACGTTTCGTGGCTCCATAGGGAGCTCCACCGAAGGCCCCAGTGCCCGCGCCCGCATGCGTCACCCACACCCATTTCGGCATATTCGGCACCACTCCCTGCACACGTCTTTCGTCACACGGTGGTTCCATAGGGAGCTCCACCGAAGGCCCCAGTGCCCGCGCCCGCATGCGTCACCCACACCCATTTCGGCACACCCCTCACACGTTTCGTGGCTCCATAGGGAGCTCCACCGAAGGCCCCAGTGCCCGCGCCCGCATGCGTCAGCCACACCCATTTCGGCACGCCCCTCACGCGTTCCGTGGCCCCATAGGGAGCTCCGCCGAAGGTCCCAGTGGGTGTGCCCGCATGCGTCCCGCACACCCATTTCGGCACACCCCTCACACGTTTCTTGGCCCCATAGAGAGCTCCACCGAAGGCCCCAGTGGGTGTGCCCGCATGCGTCCCGCACACCCATTTCGGCACACCCCTCGTACGTTTCGTGGCCCCGTAGGGGGCTCCACCGAGAAGATATTCACAATTGCAGTATTCACAATTGCATATGGTTGGGTCCTTCGCCAGGATAATTTAAATATTTTTACCTTTTTGGAGCAGTTCTGGGGAATTTGTCCCAACCATCCTGTGGTGTTGGGTCCTCGTTTTGAAGAGACGGTGCCCCGCGTTCCCTCCTCCCGATGCCCCCTCCCTCCTCCCCCTCTTCCCTGCGCTTCACCCACCCAGTACAGCGTTTCGTAGCCCCATAGGAGCTCCACCGAAGGCCCCAGCACCCGCGCCCGCATGCGTCACCCACACCCAATTCGGCACACCCCTCACACGTTTCGTTGTTCCATAGGGAGCTCCACCGAAGGCCCCAGCCCGCGCCCGCATGCCACCCACACCAATTTCGGCACACCCCTCACACGCTTCGTGGCATAGGGAGCTCCACCGCCACCCACACCAATTTCGGCACACCCCTCACACGCTTCGTGGCTCCATAGGGAGCTCCACCGAAGGCCCCAGTGCCCGCGCCCGCATGCGTCACCCACACCCATTTCGGCACACCCCTCACACGTTTCGTGGTTCCATAGGGAGCTCCACCGAAGGCCCCAGTGCCCGCGCCCGCATGCGTCACCCACACCCATTTCGGCACACCCCTCACACGTTTCGTGGCTCCATAGGGAGCTCCACCGAAGGCCCCAGTGCCCGCGCCCGCATGCGTCAACCACACCCATTTCGGCACACCCCTCACACGTTTCGTGGCTCCATAGGGAGCTCCACCGAAGGCCCAGTGCCCGCGCCCGCATGCGTCAGCCACACCCATTTCGGCACACCCCTCACACGTTTCGTGGCTCCATAGGGAGCTCCACCGAAGGCCCCCCGAGTCGTCACCGGCGTTTCGTGGTCCATAGCGAAGGCCCCAGTGCCCGCCCCGCATGCGTCACCCACACCCATTTCGGCACACCCCTCACACGTTTCGTGGCCCATAGGGAGCTCCACCGAAGGCCCCAGTGCCCGCGCCCGCATGCGTCACCCACACCCATTTCGGCACACCCCTCACACGTTTCGTGGCCCCATAGGGAGCTCCACCGAAGGCCCCAGTGCCCGCGCCCGCATGCGTCACCCACACCCATTCGGCACACCCCTCACACGTTTCGTGGCTCCATAGGGAGCTCCACCGAAGGCCCCAGTGCCCGCGCCCGCATGCGTCACCCACACCCATTCGGCACACCCCTCACACGTTTCGTGGCTCCATAGGGAGCTCCACCGAAGGCCCCAGTGCCCGCGCCCGCATGCGTCAGCCACACCCAGTCGGGCCTCCACCGAAGGCCCCAGTGCACACTTTCACACGTTTCGTGGCTCCATAGGGAGCTCCACCGAAGGCCCCAGTGCCCGCGCCCGCATGCATCAGCCACACCCATTTCGGCACACCCCTCACACGTTTCGTGGCCCCATAGGGAGCTCCGCCGAAGGCCCCAGTGCCCGCGCCCGCATGCGTCAGCCACACCCATTTCGGCACGCCCCTCACGCGCTCCGTGGCCCCATAGGGAGCTCCGCCGAAGGTCCCAGTGGGTGTGCCCGCATGCCTCCCGCACACCCATTTCGGCACGCCCCTCGCACGTTTCTTGGCCCCATCGAGAGCTCCACCGAAGGCCCCAGTGGGTGTGCCCGCATGCGTCCCGCACACCCATGTCGGCACACCCCTCGTACGTTTCGTGGCCCCGTAGGGGGCTCCACCGAGAAGATATTTACAATTGCAGTATTTACAATTGCATATGGTTGGGTCCTTCGCCAGGATAATATATTTTTCATAGAAAATCCCCCTGTAGGGGGACACGCCCGACAGAAAGGTACAAGCAGGGGCGTCCTCGAGCCGCGACAAGCAAAAAGGACACCGCGGCAGGTTTCTCAGCAGCCGGCGGCCCGCGGGGGAGGCCCTCCGGTGGCCCCGGGGGCCATCCATGGAACGATGGCGTGGGAGAAGCCAGCTCCAGGGGCCAGGTCCAAGCTCAGGAGGGGAAGACACATTTTTTTGAATCTGCAGGGCGAGAGCGAGCCTCTTCCGCTAAAAGCTCCGCGGGACGCGCGCGGCTTGGATTGACAGAGGGGGTGGCGAGGGCAGGCGGGGCCTCACGCGGCCAGGAGCGGGCGGAGCCCGGGGATCAGGCGGTGCCGAACGGGATATGCAGGAAAAGGTGCACCTTGGACAGGAGAGGGGAAGATGGGAAGTGGGGGGGGAGACAAGAACCCCGAAAATATGGGAACACACTGGGAATCATGTTATTTGTGTCTATGTATCCGTAGCTTCGCCCCCTGCCGCCGGCCCCCTCTCTCGGAGAATGGGCCATGGAAGAGCGAAGTCATGAGGTTTTGGCTTTGCCGTGAAGCAGTGTCGGGACCTTTTTGTTTTCCGACCCTGACCCTGCCGATCTGCGTGAGGGGTGCCACCGAATTTCAGACATGTGGCAAATCCCTTCTGTTTTTGGACCCTGACCCTACGGATCTGCGTGAGGGGTGCCACCGAATTTCAAAAATGTTTCAAATACAATGTGTTTTTGGACCCTGACCCCGCCGATCTGCGTGAGGGGTGCCACCGAATTTCAGACATGTGGCAAATCCTTTGTCTTTTGGACCCTGACCCCGCCGTTCTGCATGCGGGGTGCCACCGAATTTCAAGAATGCGGCAAATCCTTTGTGTTTTTGGACCCTGACCCCGCCGATCTGCGTGAGGGGTGCCACCGAATTTCAGAAGTGCTGCAAATTCCAATTGTTTTTGGACCCTGACCCCGCCGATCTGCGTGAGGGGTGCCACCGAATTTCAGAAATGTAACAAATCCTTTATGTTTTTGGATCCTGACCCCGCCGATCTGCGTGAGGGGTGCCACCGAATTTTAGAAATGCGGCTAATCCTTTGTGTTTTTGGACCCTGACCCCGCCGATCTGTGTGAGGGGTGCCACCGAATTTCAGAAGTGCTGCAAATTCCAAATGTTGTTGGACCCTGACCCCGCCGATCTGCGTGAGGGGTGCCACCGAATTTCAGAAATGTATCAAATCCTTTATGTTTTTGGACTCTGACCCCGCCGATCTGCGTGAGGGGTGCCACCGGATTTAGAACATGCGGGAAATCTTATGTGTGTTTTGGATCCTGACCCCGCCGATCTGCGTGAGGGGTGCCACCGAATTTTAGAAATGCGGCAAATCCTTTGTGTTTTTGGACCCTCACCCCGCCGATCTGCGCGAGGGGTGCCACCGAATTCCAGAAATGTTGCAAATCCTTTCTGTTTTTGGACCCTGACCCCGCCGATCTGCGTGAGGGGTGCCACCGAATTTCAGAAGTGCTGCAAATTCCAATTGTTGTTGGACCCTGACCCCGCCGATCTGCGTGAGGGGTGCCACCGAATTTCAGAAATGTAGCACATCCCGTGTGTTTTTGGACCCTGACCCCGCCGATCCGCGTGAGGGGTGTAAATTTTCACCCCCCTGGAATT